CAGGGTAATAGAGTTATGGCCTGTGCTGGGTGGGGTTAGGCTCCCCTTGAAGGCACAGGTTCGCAACTTGGGAGGCCTCCTGGACTCTTCGCTGAGCCTGGAACCTCAGGTTGCGGCAGTGGCTATGGGGGGCCTTTCACACAATTAAAACTTGTGCACCAGTTACGCACATACCTTGGGAAGTCAGACTTGGCCACGGTGGTCCATGCTCTCATTACACCCAGGATAGACTACTGCAATGCACTGTACGTGAGGCTGCCTTTGAAGACTGTTCAGAAGCTTTAAATAGTCCAATGAGAGGCAGCCAGGTTAATAACTGGGGTGGCATATAGGAAGCACACAACTCCCATGTTACATCAGCTTATCTGGCTGCTGATTTGCTACCAGGCACAATTCAAAGTGCTGACTTTGGCCTATAAAGCTCTAAATGGCCCCGGTCCAGTTTAGCTGTATGAACGCATCTCCCTGTACGAACCACAACGAATACTAAGATCTTCTGGGGAGGCCCTGCTTTCTGTCTCACCACCGTCACAGGCGTGTATGGTGAGGACGAGAGAGAGAGAGAGCCATTTCAGTGATTACCCACCAGCTCTGGAACTCCCTTCCTGGCGAGATTAGATCAGCCCCCTCCCTTCTGTCCTTCAGAAAGATGGTAAAGACCTGGCTGTGGGACCAAACCTTTGGGGCAGTGCAATGATGTAATAATAGGGAATCTACTCCACTGACCGGAGCTAGCATGGTGTCTTGAGATGGTTTTAAGCAGCTGATTTTAAAGTAGATATGACTGATTTTAATGTTGGTGCATATTTATAGTTATTTTATGTCCCAGCATGGAATGTTTGTCATTTGTATGTTGTGCTCTGCCCTGAGTCCCCTTCGGGGTGAGAAGGGCGGAATATAAATGTTTCAAATAAATAAATATCTTGTATCGTAAGGATATATTCATAGATATATTCGTTACTAAAATAATAAAGGATAAAGGATTGCCTACAGATTTGCAGAGGAGCAAAAACAATGAGCAATCCTTGCACACATCTCTAACAATATACAGTTGGCCCTCCACATGTCCAGAACTAACTACTGCATATTTGATTAATATAATAATAATAATAATAATAATAATAATAATAATAATAAAAACTTTATTTATACCCCGCCACCATCTCCCCAAGGGGACTCAGGGGACTTATGAGGCCAAGCCCAACAACACATCAGTAAAAACAAAACAGCAAGCAAATAAAACCATACAATTAATATAACTTACATATAAACAATATCCCTACTATGGTCTCTCCAGGTCTTCCAGGGCAACTATATGTGACAGAATCTGACCAGAGTTGTGGTAGAGGATGTACAGATTTTTAGAGATACTCTCTTATGTAAGAAAAATAATAGTGGTCTTTTATTTACAGTTTTCCCACTTTTGTGGGAGCCCTATGTCTCCAACCCCAGTGAATATGGTGAGCTGACCACACATATATTTTCCCATATATACACTGCATGGGCTTTCATTCTAAAGTGTTGTGAAAGAAAAGACTTTGGTTGTATTTTAGAATTATTCTACATTTATGCCAGGATGCAGCTGTAGCAGTACACAGGAACACCTTATGCACTCCTAATTAATAACATGCCCAGAATCCTTTGCAACCTTTTGAATGAAATGGCTATTTTTTAGCCCCAAATATGGTGATATTAAGGGCCACCAAGAACATGGAAAATCAGCATTGCTACGTATGGAACCTCCAGTGGCCCAGCAAGTTAAACCGCTGAGCTGCTGAACTTTCTGACTGAAAGGTCAGCGGTTTGAATCTGGAGAACGGGGTGAGCTCCTGCTGTTAGCCCCACCTTCTGCCAATCTGGCAGTTCGAAAACATGCAAATTTGAGTAAATCAATAGGTACCACTTGTGTGGGAAGGTAACAGTGCTCCATGCAATCATGCCATCCACATGACCTTAGAGGCATCTATGGACAATGCTGGCTCTTCAGTTTAGAATGGAGATGAACACCACTCCCCAGAGTTGGACACAACTAGACTTCATGTCAAGGGGAAACCTTTACCTTTTATGGACAGTCAGCCCACCATATTCACTGGGGTTAAAGGATTTCTGGGAGCTGTAATTCAAGGAATTAACTTTTCTAGGTTTTTGATAAAAGCGTGCAATGCTAGAATGGTGCACACTCCATATCCAGTGCAATGTTTTGAAGTGATTGAACCTATAAAAGCATCCCATTAGCTCTTGTGAGGAAGGAATGTTAAATAATTGAATGAAATAATAGTTGCAAGGGATGTAGAAGTAGTTACATCAGAATTGGGCTAAAGTATAAAATGTTTCAAGGTTCACTGGGACTTTGGAAGATGTTTTGTACTGGAGTATCACATTTGCACAAGCCAAAAAACTTGCCAATTTTCACCATGGTGGATCTGTTCTCAACAAGGTAGATGACAAAGTCTGTCTTCTCAATGTAATATACCTTGAACTACCATATTTTCTCTGGATCTGTTACTGTACATTTGGCAGTTCCTTTTTATTTTGTTGCTGATTTTGTGTGCCTTGAAGTTGTGTCCGACTTTAGCGACCCTAAGGTGACCCTATCGCTGGATTTTTGTGGCAGGATTTGTTCGGGGTTTCTTATTGCCTTCCTCTGGAGCTTAGAGTGTGACTTGCTTGAGGCCTCCCAGTGGGTTTCCATGGTTGAGTAGGAATTCAAACCTGGTGTACAGAATCATAGTCTAATGTTCAAATCACTACATCATGCTGCTTCCCTTTTCTTTTTTAAGTGCTCTCTATTCTACAAACTCTTTCCCCCTTTTAACTTAGTGTGCATTTTGGCCAAAGGCACAAAGAAGAAATAATGTATTACAGTGGTAAGAAAAAGGGTTGTTGTTAGTTTTTTGGGCTGTATTGCCATGTTCCAGCTGCATTCTCTTCTGACGTTTTGCCTGCATCTGTGGCTTGAGTCTTCAGAGGTTCTGTTGGCAATGTGGCAAGTGGAGTATGTGTGTGTGTATGTATATGTGTGTGTGCATCTGTGAAAAACTCACAGCAACCCAGTGATTCCAGCCATGAAAGCCTTTATTGTTATAAAAAGGGTTATCACATTTGTGTTGTTGAAGGCTTTCATAGTCAGAATCACTGGGTTGTTGTGAGGTTTCCGGACTGTATGGCCGTGTTCCAGAAGCATTCTTTCTTGACATTCCACCTGCATCTATGGCAGGCATCCTCAGAGGTTGTGAGGTCTGTTGGACACTAAGCAAGTGAGGTTTATATATCTGTGGAATGTCCAGGGTGGGCGAAAGAACTCTTGTCTGAGGCAGAAGTGACTGTTGCAATTGGCCAGCTTGATTAGGATTGAATAGCCTTTTGGCTTCAAGGTCTGGCTGCATACTTCCTGGGGGAATCCTTGTTGGGAGGTGTTAGCGGGCCCTAATTGTTTTCTGTCTTGAATTCCTCTGTATTTTGAGTGATGTTCTTTATTTACTGTCCTGATTTTAGAGTTTTTCAATACTGGTAGCCAGACCCTGAACATCCCACAGATCTATAAACCCCAATTGCCTAATTTCCAACAGACCTCACAACCTCTGAGGATGCCTGCCATAGATGCAGATGAAACATCAGGAAAGAATGCTTCTTGAACATGGCCATACAGCCCGGAAAACACACAGTAACCTGGTTACCACATTCCTCAGTCCTCTGGCTCCATCATAGTTCTGTTAAACCTACATGGCTTTAAGGCAGCAATTAAGCACTGGATAAATAACAAATTTTATGCTAGACTGTTTTAGAAAAATGCAAACATGAGTGGGTAGCCTCATTTGTATACACATTTATGATTCTAGTTTCACAAATTGAGGGTACACTCCAGGGCTTGGATGAGCCCTCCCTATAGTGGCTATGTCTGTTATCCGTGATACTTGTTTTCCCAAAATACACTGCACCTAGTCCTGGTTTGGGTGGACTGTGGGATAAAGCAAACCAAACATGGCTGCTGGTATAGCAAACCAAACATGGCTGCATCTTGCCATAGATGCAGGCGAAACGTCAGGAGAAATGCCTCTAGAACATGGCCATATAGCCCGAAAAAACCTACAACAACCCATGGCTGCTGGTACATTCACTGTGAATGTTTCCAGTGAGGGTTCCAGTGATTGCCTTATCTTGTCATATGGTGCTTCTGCACCTAGTCAGTCACCTTGACTGTTATTGTAAACCACAGTGAGGTCCACTGGGCTTAGAAGCACATGTATCTGCAGCCTTAGACTAAAAAGGACAGCTTCAGTGAAGTCAACCAGAAGGAAACTGAACCAGTACCATACCCAGAATTCACTTCTTAAAAAGGAGCCAGTGACTTGCAGTTTCTCAAGTTGCTCCTGACAGGAAGAAAAAAAAATTACCTAGAATTGGAACTGGCCTGCAGAAATCTGCTGCAGCTTGCAGCCACTTGATTCCATGACCAAGGTCGAATATTTCAATCAGTGCCTCCAAATTATCCAAAATGGAAAGTTCCTCTCTGTGACATCATAGCACTTTGAGGCCCTCGGCTGCAAGCCAGCATGCGGAGAAATTTCCTGTGGCCACCAAAACCCCTTTTCACCCACGATCATTAGTACTTTTGTAGTTTTCACAGAGTGTTTCAACTTTCAAAGTACTTTGCAGACATTATTACAGCAATGCTTCTAAAGTAGCATTATGGCCATACCGCACTTTTGAGATTACATCTGAGATAGTATTGGCTCCATAAAGGCTTCCCGGGGGAACTGAAGAGTAGCCAGTGCCACTTTGGCACATTAGTTCCTCCCAAAGCAGATCAACGGATAGATCATAAAAGCAAGTAAACTTCTGGGACCCCTCACAACTCAGCCCTTCTCTCAATAAGCAAACAAATCAGAGGGGGATACAGATAAGTTGGTGCTGGGGACAATTAGAAGCACATACCTTAAAGTGGAAAGAGGGGAAAGGTTGGGTAGAGTTGCTTTTCTGTGCAAAATAAACCAAATGTGTTCTACTCAGTATCATTTATTTCAAAAATAATATCAGAAAGTGCAACATCCAAAGGCCAGACTGGATAATTTGAGTAACCAGACTCGACTGCAGTGTTAGTGATCAGCCCTGTTACACTGACAGTCCTCACCTCCCCAATTCACCCAGTTCCACACACTTTCTCCTTCTCCAGTGCTTGGAGTCCTTTCATAGAGATGGCATTGTACACACCTCCAGAGTTTGGTCCACAACATCAGAAAGGGACACGTCCACATTTCAATTCCAGCAATCTGAAATCTTTCTCGACGATTCTCCAAATACTCCCAAGGCTTTCGGGATGTCAACTCCCAGCGTGGACTCCTCTTGAACAAAAAAGACACAAGCCCAACTAAACTCAAGGCCTTGCGGTCCAGATTCCCTCCTTTCTCCCTGCCTTTCCCAGTTCCAACTCTCTTCCTTCGATTCTCTTGGGAAAGCCTGTCTGGGGGAGTTTTTAAACTTTGAAGCGTCATCTTTCAAAGTCAGAAAGAACGGAAACCAACTTGACAACTGCTGTCACTTTTTAAAAATTGTCTCAATCCTTTCCAGTAATTTGATCTGCTGCGTGACTTTGTTTTCAAGAGAATAAGGTAAAGCTCTGGGAGGTGGTGCTCATCTCCATGTCTAAGCCGATGAGCCGGCATTGTTCGTAGATACCTCCAAGATCATGTGGCCAGCATGACCACATGGAGCGCCATTACCTTCCTGGCAGTGCGGTACCTATTGATCTACTCACATTTGCATGTTTTCAAACTGCTAGTTTGGTAGAAGCTAGGGCTTGACAGCGGGAGCTCACCCCGCTCCCCGGATTCGAACTGCCAACCTTTGGCTTAGCAAGCTCAGCAGCTCAGTGGTGTAAACTCTTGGAGAATACCCCTCTTGGAAATAAAGGCCTCACTGGGGGGTCCAGGTGGGTCTCCAAGGGAGGCGTTCCAACCAGGCACTTGGAGGCGAGCAGGGCGGCTGTGGAGACTGAGAGAGAGGGGAGGGGGCTTCCTCTGGCTCCAGGGCAGCAGAGAGAAGGAGGGTGAGGGCTTCCTCTCGGCGGTTCTGGTACAAATCCATGGGCCGCGTGTTCCTGTCCCGCGTGGAGCGGCAGCCCAGTAGAACGCCCCTTCCTCAAAGGGAGAGAGATGCCCAGGGAAGGGGTCTTCAGCTGCCCCCTCCTCCTTCTCCTCCTCCTCCCCCTCCAGTCTCGTCCAGGCTTCTCCTGGTGGCCAAACTGGTGACGGGCAAGACGGTGGCGTTGCGCATGGACTCCTCGTAGGAGGGCAGGTGCTTGACTTCCTCGTAGGAAGGCAGGTGGAAGAAGGAGGCGGGGGCGGGCAGGGGCAGCAGAGGCAGCGGGCGGTTGTGGCTGTGGCTGTCCAGCAGCGAGTCCTGCGAGGAGGCGGCCGTCCCGGCGAAGGAGGGGAAGGAGGAGGAGGAGGCGCCCCCGGCCCGGCAGCCCCGCGCCTCCTCTTCTTCCTCCTCTTCGTCTTCTTCCTCCCCTTCTTCCTCCTCGTCGTCCTCGTCTTCCTCGCTGCTCCTCCGCCTGCCCGCCCTCCTCCTCCTCCTTGCCGCCCTCGCCCTCCTCCTCCTCTCCCGGCGGCGCCGCCTGGGGCTGGGGCAGATGAGGCGCTGGAGGAAGTAGCCGATGGCGAAGAGGACCAGGAGGATGAGCAGCCCGGAGAGCTTGCGCACCAGCCAGCCCACGTTGTCCAGGAAGGTGTGGAAGGGCAGGCGGCAGCAGCGCGCCTCCGGGTGGGTCAGGTTGCCCCCGCGGCAGCAGCCCTCGCCCGGGCCCGCGCAGCCCAGCGCCTCGCACGCCCCCGCCGCCGTCGCCACCCCCGCCCCCTCGCCGCCCTCGCACAGCCAAGCCCAGCCCCACAGCAGCAGCCCGGGGGCGCGCCACATGGCCTCGCAGGAAAGAGAGAGGGAGAGAGAAGGAGAGAGGAGAGCCTCCCGCAGCCCTCCTCCTCCTCCTCCTCCAGCCAAGTCCTCTCAGGCTTGGCTCCGGCTCCTCTGGACCTGGCCAGGGTGGCACGCGGGAGCCCCGGAATGCCGCCTCGGAAGGAGGGAGGGAGGGAAGGAAGGAAGGAAGGAAGGAAGGACACTCAGGCGCGCACACGAGGCCTGGGGAGCGGGTGGGGAAGGAGCGCGGGAACGCCGGGCGCCCCCTTCCAGCCACACGGGAGCCAGGAAGACCCCTGGGAAGAGTCTCTCTCTCACATGGGCACACGCGCGTCCATGAGGAGAGTTGGAAGAGAGCAAGGAGTTTGGAGGCCCCCTGAGAAGTGTCTCTCACACACATACATACACACAGGAGTCCATGAGGCAAGTTGGGAGAGCAAGGAGATGGGAAGCTCCTTGGGAAGAGTCTCTCTCTCACACACACACACATGCGTGTCCATGAGGCGAGTTGGGAGGACCCCTGGGAAGAGATTTTCTCTCACACACATATGCACACGCGTGCCCATGGGGCGAGTTGGGAGAGTTAGGAAGCCTCCTGGAAGAGTATATATCTCTCACACACACACGCGCCCATGAGGCGAGTTAGAAGAGAGCAAGGAGTTGGGAAGACCCCTGGGAAGAGTCTCTCTCACACACATACACGCGTGTCCATGAGGCGAGTTGGGAGTGCAAGGAGTTGGGAAGCCCCGCTGGGAAGAGACTTTCTCACACACACACATTCACGCACACCCATGAGGCAAGTTGGGAAGCCCCCCTGGGAAGAGTCTCTTTCTCTCTCTCACACACACACACACATACACGCGTGTCCATGAGGCAAGTTGGGAGAACAAGGAGTTGGGAAGCCCCCCTGGGAAGAGACTCTATCTCACACACATACACACGCACGCACACCCATGAGGCGAGTTGGGAGAGAGTAAAAGGAGTTGGGAAGCCCACTGGGAAGAATCTCACACGCGCGAGCGCGCGCCCATGAGGGGAATTGGGAGAGCAAGGAGATGGGAAAAGCCCCAGGGAAGAGTCTCTCTCACACACGCACACACGCACACCCATGAGGCGAGTTGGGAGAACAAGGAGTTGGGAAGCCCCCCTGGGAAGAGACTCTCTCACACACATACACACGCACATCCATGAGGCGAGTTGGGAGAGCGAGGAGATGAGAAGCCTCCTGAGAAGACTCTCGCTCTCTCACACACATACACACACGCGCTCGCCCATGAGGCGATTTGGGGAGCCCCCTCGGAGGAGTCTCTCACACATACGCACACAGGCGCGTCCATGAGGCGAGTTAGGAGAGCAAGGAGATAGGAAAAGTCTCATACACACACGCGCACCCATGGAGCGAGCTGGAAGAGCAAGGAGTCTCTCTCTCGCATACACACACGCGTGTCCATGAGGTGAGTTGGGAGATAGCAAGGAGATGGGAAGCCCCCTGGGAAGAATCTCTCGCTCACATACACACACGCGCACGCGCGCCAATGAGGCCAATTAGAAGAGAGCGGGCACTAGGCAAAGAGTTGGACACTTCCACCCCCACGTGTTATATTAAGCGACTTAGGGACTAGGCGGGCTATGAGGTTTCCCCCCACGCACCCGGCAACTTTGTGGAAAGTGAAAAAAAAGCAGGCATGAGTTGGCAAGAGTGGTGCGCGGCCGGGTTTCAAAAGAGTTGTCGAGAAATATTCTCGAAGGCTTTCATTTCTGGAATCACTAGGTTGCTGTGAGTTTTCCGGGCTGTCCGGCCATGTTCCAGAAGCATTCTCTCCTGACGTTTCACCCGTACCTATGGCAGGCATTGTATTGTCGAAGGCTTTCATGGCTGGAATCACTAAGTTCTTGTGAGTTTTTTCGGCCTATATGGCCATGTTCTAGAGAAAACGTCAGGAAAAATGCCTCTAGAACATAGCCATATAGCCCGAAAAAACCCACAAGAACTTTATGGCAGGCATCCTTAGAGGTAGGAGCCCTCGGTGGCGCAGTGGGTTAAACCTTTGTGCCGGCAAGACTGAAGACTTGACAGGTCGCAGGTTCGAATCCGGGGAGAGCGTGGATGAGCATTATTCCACAGATATCTCAACCCCACTTGCCTAGTTTCCAACAGACCTCACAACCTCTGAGTATGCCTGCCACAGATGTGGGCGAAACGTCAGGAGAGAATGCTTCTGGAACATGGCCAGACAGCCTGGAAAACTTACAGCAACCCAGGGTTTCAAAGAGTTGCTGAGCTGAGAAGCTGCCCGGTGGAGGAGACGGGTTGGAGGGCGGAGCCAAAGGACGGGGGGGAGGTGCCGTTTCTTCCCCGCCCACCAAAGGCAGTCTGCGAGGGGTCTGTGTGCTCCTTCCCTTTGGAGCGGGTTAGTTCTGCGGGTTAGGACGTGGCCACCAAAGTAATTTTCAACCGTAAGCAAACAGTACTTTGGTCCCCCCGCTCCAATCAATCACTGATATATATATATTCTGTTCGTCGTGGGAGTTCTGTGTGCCATATTTGGTTCAATTCCATCATTGGTGGAGTTCAGAATGCTCTTTGATTGTAGGTGAAAACAGTATATGATACTGGACAAAACTGTGCCAAAAGTAAACCCAGCAGAGTGATTTTGACAGAGTTAAAAGTGAACTTAGCCCTGTAGGTCTGGTATAAATTTCAAAACCAGATAGTAATTTTGGCACCACTTCTAATCTATCAAAGGGGAAACTTTGAAGCTCTTATACAATAAGTCTCTAAAGTCTTAAAATGATGTCTGCATATATGGGTAGCTGTCATCTGCATAACAAAATGCATCAACACATTAATCTAAACTGATATATTCAACCAAGGAAAGCAAAATTGGCACAGTAATGTGAATTAGATACAGTCCTGGAAGATCTTCAGGTTTTGTGCATAAATACAGTCTTTCTTACTCAGAGCAAGAAGTCAAGCACTCTCATAGGTCTGGGAAAAGATAAACTCCATCAAGGATAGCAAAAACCACGAAAACTTGAATATCAGTAACATCATAGAATCAAAGAGTTGGAAGAGACCTCATGGGCCATCTAGTCCAACCCCCTGCCAAGAAGCAGGAATATTGCATTTAAATCACCCCTGACATATGGCCATCCAGCCTCTGTTTAAAAGCTTCCAAAGAAGGAGCCTCCACCACACTCCGGGGCAGAGAGTTCCACTGCTGAACGGCTCTCACAGTCAGGAAGTTCTTCCTCATGTTCAGATGGAATCTCCTCTCTTGTAGTTTGAAGCCATTGTTCCGTGTCCTAGTCTCCAGGGAAGCAGAAAACAAGCTTGCTCCCTCCTCCCTGTAGCTTCCTCTCACATATTTATACATGGCTATCATATCTCCTCTCAGCCTTCTCTTCTTCAGGCTAAACATGCCCAGCTCCTTAAGCCGCTCCTCATAGGGCTTGTTCTCCATCTGCAGACCTAAGGTTGCTGGCGGACTGTGAGAGCACTATCTGAGCAGGTTTAGGTTTTGATCTGGTGCCTCTCTCCTTTTATAATTTAATCTTGAATTGCCATGTGTTTTAATGATGCCGTTTTATCGATAATTAGTGATGTTATGTTTCATTCTCTTTGCCAACTTGACCACAACCCAAAACTGCATTTGGCATGGCCAAGATGATGGAAATAATTGGGCATCAGCAGATTTAACTCTGTGCTGGAGATGGTGACCTCTGAGTGTAAAAAAAAAAGCAAAATGCAAATACATTATTTATTTATCCTGTTAGCAGCTTGGTTATAATCCAAAAAAAGATTTGCTGCAACTGAATCTCTTTTAAGTCATCTTCCTTTTGCTTTCATAATGTGATCCTGCGCATGTTTACCCAGAAGAAAATTTCACAAGTTGCAATGGGACTGGATTCCTAGAAATTAAATGTTCAGTCAAGACTTATCTCAAATTTTTCCTTAGGATTTGTTTGTTTGTTTATTTGTTTATTTCAAACATTTACACCCCATCGTTCTCAACCTCCAAAGGGGGACTCAGGGCAGCTTACATCTGGCACAATTTTATTTATTTATTATTTATTTATTTATTTATTTATTTATTTACAGCTTTTATATTCCGCCCTTCTCACCCCGCAGGGGACTCAGGGCGGATTACAGTGTACACATATATGGCAAACATTCAATGCCAATTTTTTTTTTGTAATTTTTATTAGTTCTTTTTGAAATATACAGTGAAAAAAGGGGAACAAAATTCCAGATAGAAAGGGTGGGAAAAAATTGAGCCGGTTTGTGTGGTGGGGGAAGAGAGGGGTGGGACGGGGGGGGGGGCAGTGTGGGGTTGAGGACAGGATCGGGAAGGGCCAAGGGGGGATAGGAGGGAGGAGAGCGAAGGGTAGCTGACTCCCATTCGGTCTGCAGGAAAGTAGTCCATAGTTTAATAATTCTTCCTGTGATTATGTTGATCTGAATTCGATCTTGTATGTAGCATCCTAAATATCCAGCTTCATTTGTTTTCCTATGTATTCTCCAAAGAATTTCCAATTGGTTTGTTTTTCTTTGTTCTTTCCTTCTAGTATTTGCGAGAGCTTATCCGCCAATTTTGACATACGAACATATACAGACATAGACAGAGGCTATTTAACTTTTTCTGGCCACCAGAGGAGCTGTCACTTTCATCGTCCATCTGCGACGCTGATGAAGCACTTCCGCATTCCCTTCCTTGCTGGAATGCTTTGCTGGAGTCTTCTTTATGGCCTCATAAATCAGTTAATTTAGCCTCCCCACACTTTAAGGTGGTACCTTATTTTCCTACTTGACAGATGCAACTGTCTTTCGGGTTGCAAAGGTCGACAACAGGCTACACACAATTGGTTGGAAACCCACTCCAACCCGGGCTGGCTTCGAACTCATGACCTTTTTGGTCAGAGTGATCTTAATGCAGCTGACACTCAGCCTGCTGCGCCACAATCCCGGTGCAATTCAATGCCCACACATACAAACAGCAAAA